AAAAAAAAACATGGTAATCTTATGCCATCTTATTGAATGCTACTTATATGTTTTACTTCTTTTGTTGTACTTATGGCAATGATTTTCTTTTATTCAATTTCATGGAAATTAAATTAAAATTACTAATTGTTTTTATAACCACAGTAATATTTTTTGTTATATCAACTATTGCAATTTCACAATTTACTAATACTGTACTAATATTAACTATATATTTCTTGTCTAAACTCTATAACACCTTAGTGATTAATTTATTATGATAAAATATTTTTATTGGATTTTTTTGGTATATATTGTACAACAATAAATCAAACTGAGTTACAGTAAATAAATTGCTGACATTGCTAACATCATTATTTTTATTTAAAATTAACTATTGTTATTAATTTATATTAATTATTATCAAATTGTATGAATGGATTGTTTACTAATTATCATTTAATATAAAATAAACCTAAAATTCGAAGGTTAACTATTTTATTTTATATTTACATATAATATATTTTATTTTATTTTATACATTGTGTATATAGTAATACAATTTATTATTTTAAAATTATAAAATGTTTGAATATTTACAAAACCTATACATTTAATTTAAAATACCGTAACTGCTAATGAACTAATGAACGCTTAATGAATCGTCGTAGAGCTTGCTTTTATTGAACTAATGAACGATTATTGAACTGTTATCGAGGGTTTTATAGTTGAACCGAGGGACGGTCTTTGAACTCTTTCTGAACTTTTGTAGAACTCGGTTCACCCCATGTTAAAATCCGTATTCAAATCTCATTTTGAACCGTGCTGTGAACGGGTTTTGAACTGAGTTCAGCACCGTTGTTACTATATTAAATGAACCCAGTATGAACTCGAATTGCTACTCGGGTAGTATGTGACACATCATAGCTATCTTCTATGGAAGAATGTGCTCCAAAAAAAAATAGAAAAAAATTGAAGTGCTAATGTATTCTATTCTTAAATTAAAAAAAAATTTTCATAATTCAAAGAACCTTTTAGAGAAGTTTTAAATCTACTAACATAAAGTAGATCGTAGTAACATCCTTCTTCCAACACTTTCTGATAGTATGATGGTATTCTAATAGTTCTTTAACTTAATGTACAATACAAAATTTGTCTAGAAACAGAATCAATAACTATTCCAAGTACATCACTAAATATTGTTTGAATGTCTTGACTTTTACTTTTGGGTAGTTTATCTTTCATTGATGTCAGGCGATAAAGTTTTTGAAACTGTAAGGAAAATAATAATGTGGTAATTCAGCAATCAACTTTTGAGTAATATTCTTTAATTGTATTTAAAAAAAAAATCATTAAAGATCTCAAAGCATGTAATTATTTATGGTATGTTTATTTCCTTGATATAAGGATATTTAGAAAAATGAAAATTTAGTTGTTAATAATCAATTTAACTTTTTACTCCATCTTTACATCTTCACACATTTTAATAATTTTAATGTTATCAAAATAGCTTTTAAGACAAGGTGTTTTTACAGTTTAACAATTGAACTGCGTATAAAAACTTATATATTTAAGATAACCTATCTATTAAATAATGATAATGCATTTTAAATACTCAGATGTTAAACCTTATATTTAGTTAAGCTGTTGATTAATAATTATTAAAAAAATATGCTGTATCATTTAGATTAATAATTTCAGTTACAAAGTGATTGGGAATATGAGAAACGAAAAAATCGATAGTATCAGGATGACGATTAACATGAGATGGCCAATAAGTTAGCGAGTCTATTACAATTGCTCTGTAATTTTTTAGTGCGATTAAATTATAGAGGGAACGACCCCAAGTATTAGTGGATCGACTCCAAGTATGGTGCTTGGCATTAAAATCTGCACCTATTATAAAATTGTGGTTAAGAGATTGCAATTGAAGTGACAGCTCAGAGGTAGGAAATGGTCGTCCAGGTGGAAAATAACAAGCAGATAGAGATGGGTACTAAATCTATTGTAATTGTTGAACTTGCTGCCTGAAAATTTGTACTTCGGTAGGGTGCATGAGGTATGTGCCCAATATTGTTAGATATTAAGAGTGCAGCTCCACCATGTGCTGTGCCATCAGGGTGATCAGCTCTGATAATTTCATAACCAAATATTTTGAGTGATGATTTTTCAGTAAGATGAGTTTCACATATTAATGCAATTGATATATTTTTTTCATAAAGAACAGCTGTCAGCTCATTTAAGTGTTGTAGAACACCATTTGCATTCCACAAGAATATTGATAATGTTTTTTTACTACTAATTGACATTTTTAAGAAGTTTATCAATGACTGTTGTAAGAAGAGATACAAGAGGGTTAATTTGCGCTTTTAGGTCATTTATAAATGTTGTTAGTTGAGCTGTTAGATCATGGTTATAGTCAGTATTTTTATTTTGAGTTTGAGAGTCTTTATTTAAAGGAGGAAAGTTTTGAGATGATGGGTTGGTCCTGATTAGTTAAATTGTTGGTTTGAAGTGGGCGATTATTGTTCCATGGGTTTTTTTGTGATTTGGTTAAATATTTTTTCATGTCTAGATGGATTTGACAGCCTTTATAATTTGCCGGGTGATCACCATTACACAATGCACATTTGGCAGGAGAAGTGCGACTTTTGGTACAAAGAGTTGTATCATGCTGCTTACCGCACCGAACACATCGTGGTGTGTGGTTACAATAGCTACGTGTGTGACCATAAGCCTGACATCGGTGACACTGCGGAATTTCTTTTTTTGGATGAGGGGGTTCAATTTTGATTTTAGTGTAGCACAATGAAGTTATTTTATATATATCAGTAATTGAAGGATTAGGCTCAATGTCAACAAAAAAAATTGATAAAGGCGTTTTAGTTTGTCTGTGAAGTACGGGCATAATATTTCTAACAGTAAATCCCTTAGTAGAAAGTTCATCGCTAATAAATGCCTTATCAGTAGTAGAATGTAAATTTTTAATTACTATTCGAAAAGCTTTTTCTTCTTTTATTTGAAACGAATGAAATGAGACATTATTCTCTTTAAGATATTTTATTACTGTTCTATATGAGTCGGAACTGTATGTTTGGAGTTTAAGGCCTTTTGTAGAGCTTTTACAATCGAAACCTGATGTGTCGGTTAATTCTTTGATTTTAAGACAAAAGTTATTATAGTTTAATTCAGCTTGAATAAATATTGGGGGTGGCCTGGAAGTTTTATTATTACTTTCCAATGTAGGTTCATTGGATCGTCTTCTATAATTGGTGCAATTGGAGAAAAACGGTTTGGTGACGTAAAAATATTTGAATCAGGGGGTCTATTTTTGAATCGTCCGTTCGTCGAACGTATACGTTCATTGAACGGTCACGTTCGTCAAAATACGGTCAACGAACGGACACGTTCCTCGAAATACGTTCAACGAACGGTCACGTTCGTCAAACGGATTCTATTGTTCCATTAGGTATACGGCCTTTTAGGTATTGTTCGATGAACATATATGTTTTACGATTGTTTGTAATTTATTATAATAACTTTTTAATAACAATAATTTATTACTAACACATACATTTATAATTTGCTAATTTAATTTATTTGATGTGAATTTATTTTAAGTAATTCGCTAAAACTATACAAATAATTTAATTACACAAATTCTAACAAAAATGTATTTACAATTGCATACATGTTAAAATAAAAATTATTAATACACTTTAAAACAACAAT